CTTCCCTTCCCTTCCCTTCCCTTCCCTTCCCTTCCCTTCCCTTCCCTTCCCTTCCCTTCCCTTCCCTTCCCTTCTCTTCTCTTCTCTTCTCTTCTCTTCTCTTCTTTTTTCTCTTCTTTTCTTTTTTCTCTTTTCTTTCCTTTTCTTTTCCTTTCTTTCCTTTCCTTTCTCTTCCTTCCTTCCTTCCTTCCTTCCTTCCTTCCTTCCTTCCTTCCTTCCTTCCTTCCTTCCTTCTTTTCTAAATTTTATTTACATCCTGGTCGTTGCCCCCTCCCTCCGCTACACCTGGTCCCACCCTCGCTCCCTGTTTCCTCTATATCTACTCCCCTAACTCCTCAGAGAAGAGGAGCCCAGCCCCTGACCTACCCCAGAATATCAAGTCATATCAGCACTGAGCACATCCTTTTCCCCTGTGGCCTGGAGAGGTAACCCCGCCAGGAGAAAGTGTTAGAAAAGAAGGCAACAGAGTTCACATCATTCAGCCCCCATTACTCTTACTAGGGAACCCACATGAGGACTGAACTTCCCATTGGCTACATCTGTGTAAGGAGCATAGGTCCAGTCCACGCCAAGGTCCATGGTTGGTGCTCTAGTCTCCCCAGGCCCTCCAGTGCTCTGGTTAGTTGGCTCTGTAAGTCTTCTTTTGGAGCTCCTGTTTCCTGTGGGTTCTTTTATCCTTCTCCCAACTTTTCCACAAGACTCCCTGCACTCCACCCAACGTTTGGTTGTGGGTTTCCATCAGCTGCTCAGTGGAGCCAATCAGAGGACAGCTATGCTAGGTTCTCGTCTGCAAGGATAGCAGACTGTCATTTAATATGACAGGGGTTAACTGTCTCCCCACAACTCTGAGATTCCAACTTACACACTTCAGAATGGCTCAGATCAAAAACTCAAGAGACAACATATGCTGATGAAGATGTGGAGAGAGGGGAATCCTTCTCCATTGTTGGTGGCAGTGCAAACTTGTACAATCTTCTGGAAATCAACCTGGCACCATCTCAGAAAATTGGGAATAGCTCTGTCTCAAGACCCAGCTATATCACTCCTGGGCATATACCCAAAAGATGCTCTATCATACAACAAGTACACTTGCTCAACTATATTCTTAGCAGCTTTATTCCTAATCGCCAAAATCTCGAAACAACCCTCAATGGAAAAATGGATAAAGAAATTGTGGTGCATTTATACAATGGAATATTACTATTAAAAACAAGGAAATCATGAAATTTGCAGGCAAGTGGATAAGACTAGAAAAAGATTATCCTGAGTAAGCTCATCCAGACTCAGAAAGACACACATGGTATGTACTCACTTATAAGTACAGGAAACTACACTACAAACTCACAGACCCAAAGAAGATAAGTAACAAGGACCCAAGGTAGGATGCTTAACTCCCACTCACAAGTAGAAATAGAATAGACAGTGAAAGTGGTTGAAGAGAAGGAACAGGGTAAGAGAGGGAACACAGAGAGAAATGAAAGTCAGTATCAGAGATGGGTAGAGCAGTCTCAGGATGACAGAAGGTTTGCAGAGAGAAGAGAAACCTGAGGCAGGGACTTCTCTGTGACAAGCTGGAGACCTATGGCAGAGTAGGCCCCAGGGAGGATATGAGGATGACTCTAGCTGAGCTCCTAGTACCCGGGGTCATGGAGACTGAAGAGGCCACCCTCTAACGAAACAGGACTCCTAGTGTAAGGAGGGGAACACCAACACACCCACAAAAACTTCAACCCAAAATTTACCCTGCCTGACATTCAGGGATAAAGATAGGGCAGAGATTTAGGGAATGTCCAACCAATGGCTGACCTAGCCTGAGATTCACCCTATGAGGTGAGATTTTTTGTAGGTTCCATTTTGTGTTCACAAATTGCAGTCAAGCAAAGAAAATGCAATTTAGTCTTCTCTATATCCATGAGTTAATTGAAAGAACATTCATGGAGACCTAATAACTGAAGTTATTGTTTTAGTAATCTTATTAGAAATGTCTGAAATATATGGAGTGTACTTGTAAAAAAAATGTATTTCTCTTGTTGGGCTTCATATTAACATGAATTTTGATCACATTAATCCATTAAACTGTGACAGTGAAGACACAAGTCTACAATTAAGGCATAGAACAGGGACATTTTGGAGTCGAGCAATACTCTCAATCATGTCAACCCACAGAAGATGTGTTAATCGGTACCAGTACACACAGTACACAGTTAATCACTTATGACGGGGAATAAATGCTTGAGGATGGACACTAGGAGCGTGATGATGTAGAACCCTTGGAAATGACCTATGGCGATATTAAAGAGCCATATCCTCTCTTGGAATTCTATGCACAGTAAGAATTATAAATATCATACACAGAACTAAAGCATTAAATACAAAAATATTCATCACGAAACCAGCAGTATTATTACATCGCTTCTGCTATGCACATAGCATATACATATTTCTTTAGATTGCCATAAAAGCTGAGTGATCTGATTTTCATTGAATTAAATAAAAATATTTCCAGTGATGAGCATACGTTAGATTACTGTATCTTTAAGCAAGTTTAAACGTTTTCAGGGTATTTAAATTAAGGCAAATATTCTGTTTTGACATGGTGCTGTTAGAAGTACAACCTACATGTTCTGTGTCATTTTGTGTCACACAGATGGATATTTACTTTTGAGATTCCTTTTCTTACTGTGAAGCAACAATTCTGTTGGACAACCAGGCTGTAGCCTTTCCATGAGGAGTTTAATCAGTCAGTGAGTTGACTGCTTCGAGTAGCAGGTGTCAGTTAGACAACTGCTAATCCCTGAAGCCCAGCTCACAGGCACAGACTTCTAAACAAACTATCCAGGAGCAGCCAGACTGGACACATATGTCCCACCTACCAGCTACCTTATCTCCATAAGCCTAGGAAGGAATTCAGCCTATTAATGAATAGACTCTAGTGTGAGCATAGCACATAAGATACATATAAATGTTTATTGAGTGAGTTGAAAATTCAGGAACTTTGAGGTTGAGAAGAGAGTATTATGAGAATTGGTCTTGATATTCAGTTAACCAATTAAAAAGCTATCTAATTGAAAGCTTCCCTTCTTTTGTCTGTGGTAGGGCCTTGTTTTATTTTATTTTAATTTTTATTAATTACACTTTATTCACTTTGTATCCCCCCATAGCTCCCTCTCTCCTCCCCTCCCAATTCTACCCTGCCTCCCCTTTCTCCACGCATGCCCCTCCCCAAGTCCACTAATAGGGGAGGTCTTTCTCTCCTTCCTTCTGATCCTAGTCTATCAGGTCCCATCAGGAGTGGCTGCATTGTCTTCCTCTGTGGCCTGGTAAGACTGCACCCCACTCGGGGGGAGGTGATCAAAGAGCCAGCCACTGAGTTCATGTCAGAGACAGTCCCTGTTCCCATTACTATGGAACCCACTTGGACACTAAACTGCCATGGGCTACAACTGTGCAGGGGTTCTAGGTTATCTCCATGAATGGTCCTTGGTTGGAGTATCAGTCTCAGAAAAGACCCCTGTGCCCAGAATTTTTGGTTCTGTTGCTCTCCTTGTAGAGTTCCTGTCCTTTCCAGGTTCTATTTCCCACTTCTTTCATAAGATTTCCTGAACTCTGCCATAAGTCTCAGCATCTGCTTTGATACCCTGCAGGGTAGAGCCCTTCAGAGGCCCTCTGTGGTAGGCTCCTGTCCTGTTCCCTGTGGAACTGGAAACATCATCCTGAGTGAGGTATTCCAGAAGCAGAACAACACACTTATAAGTGGATATTAGACATATAATATAGGATAAACATACTAAAATCTGTACACCTAAAGAAACTAACCAAGAAGGAGGACTCTGGCTAAAATGTTCAATCCCCATTCAGAAAGGCAAAGAGGATGGACATCAGAAGAAGGGCCTTGTATTTAAGACTTTTGTTTAGACTTAGTGGAGAGGTGTTTATCCTGCCAGCCTTCCTAAGCATCTGGATTCTCTCTAACACACAGCCTATTTTTCTATTATTTGCTTTCACACAGCCCAAATCCTAAGTGACTACATCTGTGTCCTAGGCTGATAAAATCTTAGAAGCATCAAGGAAAGCCCCTACATGTTTTCTAGAGGCAACTGTTCAATTCATTGTAACTAATAATAACAGCTAGTATCTGACCCATGTTATCACTTAGGAAAACTTCAAGGCATTTTGGCCTGAAGTCATTCAAAATTTTACTTTAGGTCACTTAAAGGGATAGTGTATGCTACTTTCCATGCCCTTAAAATATTGTAGGGTTTTAGTCTCCTTGAAAAGAGATAGATCTTAAACACGGTCAATTTGACAAGTCAAGTAGTTGATTTATAAATAGTTTTATGTGAAGGTGCGGTGGAAAGAACTGGCTTTGGATGAGAAAACACAAATTTAGTGTCTCTTTGCTTTGCCATCTTCATTTTCTTTATCCATTCACTCCGGCAGATGATCTACATGTGTGTCAGTACCTACACTTGGGCTCTTGCTCTGTTTCCCTCCTTTTCAACTTGTTTCTCTTCTTTTTGTTTGACAGTTCCTTGGCACTTTCTTGTACTGGGCACTTTTTAAGAAATAATAAAAAAATATCATATTTAAAATAACAAAGCTTATGAGAGACACACAAATATTATCTAACATGTGGAAATGAGTACTAGAGTTAGCACGTCTTAAACTTAACTTTACAGCAAAGAGCTTCTACTTCAAGACTGGGCATTAAAGTCTGTACACCACTCCACGGCCAACATAGTGTGCTCAGGGCTGGAGGGTTAGGCTACTCACTTTTTTCCTTTTCCTCTTTTCAAGCTATGTTATCATGGCAGTAGATTAACTTAAAACTGATAGATATCAACTGGAAGAAATCAGTTGATAGACCCACTGGAAACC